TTCTACAATGGTTATTTCAATAATAATTAAAATATTACCTTGATAAGGAGGGAATTCATGGTCTGTCTGATATTCATATTGTTGTTTTTTCTCATTTTCTTCAAGCTTAGCTAAATTAAATGGATTTAAGTCAAACATTTCAGTCTAACCCTTATATTTTTCCCATTAACACTAAAGTAGTATTTTAGTACTTAGTAGTACTTAGTAACTTATTAACTTAGTACTTAGTAACACTTTAGTAGTACTTTAGTTAATACTTTAGTAGATTAACACGGCCGGTTATCCACTAAATCATAAAAAAGAGTGGCTTCCGACACAATATTTATCGAATATTACATATTTATAGATCGGGAATCTTTAGGATTGAATTAAATAAGGTAAATAGGATAAATAAGGTAAATAAATAAGGTAAATAGGATAAATACCGAAATGTCCGGGATCAAAATTTATTATAAATTCTGGAAGTATTTTGAATCCAGAATTCTCAACTTCATGTTGTTTTGATAAACCTTAGACATAATTTGTTGAATTTTTAACATAGTTTTGTAATAAAAAAGTCGGAAACTTGTAAAAATTGAAAAATAAATTAATCAATAGTAGTATATGTACCACTTTTATGCCAAAAATTTTTTATCAAAATTTTCGACATAAAACCGTCACAAAAATTCTTTACAATTATTTTTCAATAGGTTTAAGGGGTTTTAAAAAGTAAACCTTTCTTTACAATTATTTTTCAATAGGTTTAGGGGGGAAATTAAAAATTAATAATCGTTGCGTAACTTGCCAGATCGGACGGGTGGGCACATTTACAAAGATGTAAGAACGTATTTATAAGATTGTTGAAATTTTAATATATGTAGGTAATATAAACTTAATTCTAAGCCAATTAAAAGAGCACGAAGTTTAATAAGTTTTAAAGAAAAGAATTATATGTAGTAAAAATATTCTTTACGGAAAAAATAAATTAAAGATAAAAAAGTGCTTATTAATTGCTAACGTTTTTACAAGTTAATCGGTATTAATCTACGTCCAAAGTATAATGTTAGCTTCGTTACCCCGATAACAAGGGATTTAGTAGCTACAGCAATGTCATAGCAAGTTTCTTTTACGAATACCCATGCGGTATCGAACATACTTGGTTTATAATACACTACTGAAAAGGTAGGTTTGTATACTTGTTTCCACTCCTTTTCGTTCTCATCGTATTCAAACCAAACATTCCACTCGGTTTTAAGGTTGTAAAATTTGAATGAGAAGTTAAGTCAGGGCGTAAAGCATGCTCAAAATTTTGTGGTTTGGGAGTTCTTCGAAAAAAAGATATTTTGTTCTCTTCGTTTTTTATTATTTTATCTTCACAATAAACTATTTCTACTATTGCAACAAAAATTAATATAAAAAGCATTTTTCATATTACGCAAAAAATGTGAATGATCATTTATATAGTTTTCATAAATTTTTATTCATTTTTGTTCTTCAACTTCAACAAAGTCCAAACATTCCAGAGGATAAAAATATTGATGCTGTCGTCCTCCGACAACACAAACAAGGGGTAGCTGTGGATAAACAATGTCTATGTGATGTCGAACATAGAAATATTGCCTGATTGTCACACGTAAGTATCCTCGTAATGCAAAAAGACGATCCGCGCCCATCTTAGTCAATTTACTTGGATATATTTCGAACTGAATATGTCTTAAATGATTTGTTACTATAGCCTTCTTTCCCGGCTTCATAGTATTGTCAGAAAATGTTTTTTGACCAATTCCATTCATGGCAACATCTTCATTTGTCATAGTAGTAAGTGATTGAAGGAATTGAATATTTTCGTTGTATTTTTTACGCATTTCCCTGTGAAGTGATTCTGGTGCACATCCTCCATTAAATTTACAAAGTAATTGAAGTAACGAACCAGTTTTGACGCGCACATGAGGAGGAGGCGATTTTGATGAAAATTTAACAGGTTCTCTAAATTCTGACATATTAGCACTAGTACGCATGTTCATATTCCCTGGTAAAAGTTATCTATATAAGCTTATTTCCTTGACTTATATACCAAGAGGCCCTCTCGCAAGCCTAATTCCTGGGAGTTCTCCGTTTCCATTTCTTCGCAAATTTACATGTGCTTTAAACACTACAGCCAAAACAAAAATTAGTAACAAATCGAGGACATAAGCGATTAACAAAAACATATCTTTATTAGGATTTACTGAAGGACCGATTGAAAGCGCATGAGCTTCATCAATAATAAAACATGCATTTACATTTGGAGGGATTGGTCCATGAAGAGGATAAAGAATATTACTATCGTTTTGCTTATAAGCGTAAATCACACAAAGGAAGAAAATTAAAAATAATGATTGCAGCATTTTTATTGCATAAACACTGAATAATTATCTTATATACTTATTCCTAATGATAGTTTCTTTATAATATTTCGTAAATTAGCATCGCGTCCCTCTGAAGGTATTGAGTGCAACTTTTGAAGAACAGATGAAAAATTATTACCCTGTTTCGAAATTAGGATGAGGAAGCAAATACAATAATGACCACAAGTATCTGACAAGGGAGATTGTAATGAAAATTTATTTTGTTTCACTAAGGAAAAATTGGCAAGCATTGACTTTCTCATGTCACAATTTGGTTCTTCGGCAAAGGAGTCAAAATATTCCAATGTATTTGGAGTATCTGAATAACATGCAATCCAGTGTTCACCAACTGTGCCTTTACGCATCGTATTCGCAACAAAACAAAAAGGCTTTTGAGTTCCAATATCAGGAATATTATTCGAAGAAAACACGCCAATAAATTTATTATTTAGAGGCTTGTACCGTTGTAAAATAGTTTGAATTTGGAGAGAATTCATGATCTAAACTGATCCATCCGTACTTAAGACGCGATCTGCATTTATGGACATGATTGCATCAAACTCTCCCATAATTATCATTTCATAACCCGAGTCTTTGACGGGTTGATTAAAAAGACACCGCACGGTTGTTGTACCTTGTCTTATTAATTCTAGCCCATTTGTATCTTCAAGGGTTGAAGTCATCGGTATAACAAAGAAGCAGGAGGATTTTGAATATTCTTTCATATTGATATCGATAGTTCTTTGATCAGAATTTGGCCAATTATCTAGATCCATACCAACATAAGTGTCAACATAAGCGCGAACAAAATTACCTTTAGCAAAATCAAGGTCATATGGCACCGCAGGAAATTGGAATCCTCCAAATTCTGCAGAAACTGATCGCAAATTAGCGTGTTCAAATGTAAATGGGGATAATGCAGTATTTCCAGTGAATGCAGGAGAACCTACAAAGCATATTATTAAACGGCGAGGACATGTACTAGTGAATGCGGGATGTGTAATTTCTTGACGCCCTTTTCCAAGAAATACACTCCGAATTTCTATTTTTCTATAAGCGTACTTTGCTGGAGACTGCTCTAAATGTCTAAAAATAGCATTATTTAGAGACATACTTAAATCGACTTGTTTAACATAAATTCTCATATCATGAAGACGCAGACGATAAGAGTTTGTATTACTTATCAGTTCTCCGCCTGTAGCTAAGCGATACTTAGGGGTATGAATAAGAAATTCATCAGAATTTCTATAAAGGGTCCAGATCACGTCACTATTCGGAATTAGAAGCTGATTCTGACGTGCCATATCATAATCTAAGTGGGAAAATAATCTACATGTTTGGCCATTAGCAAAACGAGAAGCCCGTGACTTAAAGCCACTACCTTCAAATGCATCCTTGTCGACGGCATCCTTATAATAAAGTGAAGCTTCATATAGTCCTTTGCTCACCTCTCGGCTTGCTCCAAGCTCGTGTAGAAGTATAAATCTATATTCATAGTGAATACCTGAATCATAGCACTGAACACCATTAATTGATAGAGTTAGACGACGAATCCATGTAAGACCTAGATATTGAGCAACTCCTGTAAATTTATCGCCTTTCAAATCGGCAGCTTCACCGTCTGTGATAGGAACCCATTCATCGCTAGTTGCATGTTTTCTTTCTAAGGATAAAACCAGACTAAAATAAGTTTTGCTCAAATCAAGATATAGCGAGTCACCAAAATACCGAAAAATAAAGGGGCCCGCAGATTGATTTAAAGCATTAAGAGGCAGTAATTCTTTATATGCCGAACGAATAATACCCACATTTGTAGAGGGAATAGAAAAGAAGGATAAACGGTTGTCTACACCTTCTGAACTATCTTTATCAATTTTCTTTAATGTTGTCATTTTTTACTTAAAGTAAATTAGTATTTAACATATACTTATATACTCAGAAATTTTATAAACTAAGTTGATCCCTATGGCGGCGGCCTTTGTTCCCTAAATTTCCGATAATAATATTTTGTTTGCGTTTTCTTTTGCCTTTTCCACATTGTTGGAGCTTTTTTCCTACTTTTTGAAGCCCTTCGCTTCCATGCTGCTTCAAGGCATCACTAACTGATCGACCTTGCGAAACATCTTCAAGGATATTTTTTCCAACATTAACTGCCTCTTGTCCTGCACTAGTAGCTAAATTTTTAACTATTGGCATTAGAAAACGCCCTACAGATCCTAATAAACCAAATCCTCTTTGATAATTCGTTCCTTGAAAATAACGACTTCCTTCTATTAATCTTGAACCTCCGTCTTGGGAGGCTAAGAAAGGTTCCCAGTCTATTTTATCTAAATCTATTGGTACATGTGTCATTTTTAAAATAAAGAGCGTTGAAAGTGTAGTGTTAGTATACAGGTTCCCCAATGGAATTTTACGAGTTTTCCAGTTAAGGTGCGAATTTCAATAGTAATGTCTGGATGACGTTTACCTAATATACGATGTTGATGCTCGGTCATATATACTTCGGAAATACTATCACCCGGCTTACCAGTTAGATTCACAACACGTAATAGGGGAGCAGTTACGTTTCCAATTATACTATTTTCAACGAGCCTTGGAGCATAAACCAAAAATTGTCGAACACCTCCAGATATATCAGGCATATACTTTGCCACTTGTCCACTATGAACTTTCTCAGAATCAAAACCAAGAGTATAAGCTAATTGACGACTTAATTGAATATATTGTACGTTTCCTTGTAAGAAGACATGGAACCTCTTATGCAATTTGTCAAAGTGTACTGAAACCCATTGATATTTTGGATCGGCTAGTTGTATATTGGAAAAGCTAAGAAGCATTTTTAGATATTCAGGAGGATAGCCATATTTAGCAAAATGCATTTTCTTTACATTAGGATCCGAATCATCAACTCTTATTGTTAACTTTCCTTTGTGAGGTTCTTTTTTCTTTTGGCCTGAAAGCTCATTTTGTTTCGTTTTATCTTCGCTTGACATACCGCCAAGTCCAAAGAAGCTTTTCCATGAGGAGGGATGGTGAGGAGGCTCTCCAATTAACATTTCAGGACGTGGAAGAGAAGGCCGCTCCTCTGTATGAATTATTTCATCTACTTTAGGCTGAACAATATTTTCACGTAAATTTGCGGTTGATGGGGGAATACTTACAGGGTCTTCTTCTGCCAATGGAGGTGTCCATTGCTCTTCATTATCGTAATTGTTTGAGATTCCTGCAGAGTCTCTTCTTGTGTGTTTTCTTCATCTTTTTCTTCTTCTATAATCGTTGGTTCTTCGTTTGCCTCAATATTTTCTTCAATATTTTTTTCTTCTGGTAATGGAGGTGTCCATTGCTCTTCGTCCTCATCGCTTATTGTTTGTGATTCCTGCGGAGGCTCTTCTCTTGTATCATCTTCTTCAGAATCTTCTATTGCTTCTTCATGTACCTCATCCCTTTCTTCTGGTAATGGAGCTTCCCATTGCTCTTCGTCATCATTGGTTATTGTTTGTAATTCATGTTGTGTATCTTCTTGCGTATCTTCTTCGGCTGTACCTTCTCTTATAAGCGTTGGTTCTTCGTTCGGCGCAACATTTTCTTCGATATTTTCTTGTGGTAATGGAGGTGTCCACTCTTCTTCGTCTTCATCGGTTAGAGCTTCATAATCATCATGTTCATCAATATTTTCCGCGATATTTTCTTCGGTTAAATTTTCATTTTCATCTTCAATATTTGAAGATTCAGGAATTGACGAAGTATCTTCCTGTTTCGCAAGTTCTGCGTCAACTTTACCAATAATTTCTTCTGATAAACCTTTTTGTCCTGCAACAGCCTCTTCAACCTGACTGGCTGCTTCCTTTACCTTACGTTCTGCGGCCTTAGCACGATCCGCAGCCTTTCTTGCTTCTGAAACATCTCCGCGGGATTCTGCAGCTTTAGTTTCTAGTTGTGCTTCCGAAGCTCTTTTTCCATACTCTAAACATTCCTGTGTCCATTTATCAATTGTAATTTTACGATTAGTTAACAATATTAACTGAGATTTAACCCATTCAAGAATATTTTCAGGTGTTTTTCTTAACTGCACAATTTCGCCCGTTTCTTTCAATGTAATCACACTATCTTTCAATGCATACTTAAAGCGCGCATTCTGCCAATATTTTTCACCAAGTTCCATATTTATTTGTGCGTGCTCTGCCAACTCGACACTATTCCTCCATGCTCTTGTAGCGGCACGAACGGCCATTTCCATAAAACTTTTTGATCATCAGTTAATAATGGCTTTTCATCAGGCTCCTCTACATATGAAAGAGGTGTTATTTGCCCATCTAGAGGAGTTTTGTCATTAGATTCAATATGTTTTTCTTCAGGTATTGTCACTGGCGTCTTAGGAGCGGTCGGAGCTTCGATTATAGGACTTTTCACTGGAGTGAGCGGAGCTTCGATTATAGGACTTGTCACAGGAGGAGGTTCGATTATTGGGCTTGTCACCGGCGTGTGCGGCGCTTCGATTATTGGACTTGTCACATCTGTAGCCTTTAGAATTGTAGGTGAAGTCTCTGAAGTTTCTTCAATTTCATTAGAATTTTCTTGATCACTTTCAACAAAATTTTCTTCTACAGAGTCAGTCTTTTCAGGTTGTTGAATAGGCTCGGGCACGATTGGAGAATTGGACATAAAGCTTTTAATTGCATTCATTATTAGATCTTTCTGATCAGTTTGTGGCTCTAATCTAACCGTCTCAATAGAGCTTCCCGTAGATACATTTGGAAGTTTTGCGCCCTTAATTTCCGTATTTAAATATTTTATAAATTTATAAGCCCGGTCCTTTGGCATATCAAAATACCCTTCCTTTTCAAGTTGTTGAGTGATAGTCTCTAGCGAGAAATCAACCTGCGGATTCTCATGCTCAACCGCTGTTTGCGGAGTTGATTCAGGAATTATTTCTTGACTATTGACAGATACAACTTTCTCTTCAGTTTGATCAACCTTCGATGGATTCATAAATCTTTAATAGCCTGTTTGATAAGCTCCATTTGATCGGTATACGGACGAAACCGAACCCTTTCTATACCATCACCTGCAAGAGGCGCAGGGCTAATAGGGGGTAATCGAATTCCTTCTTTGCCTAAATATTTCATAAAATTAAAGGAGGTTTGCTTTTGCATATCGAAATAGCCATTCTTAGCCAATTGCTCCGGCGGTTCTAATGTTTGTTGTGAAACAATAAATTTATCAATAACTTTTAAGTAAAGTGATTTTTGATTTGCAGGAGGCAAAAGACGAATATTTTTACCTCCTTCTCCTGGACTCAAATTTGTAAGTTTTGGACTAATTGCCTCATCCTCTTCTGATAATAGCTTGATAAATTTATTTAGTTCATTTGTATAAAGATCAAAATAACCATGTTTATCATACTGTTCTTTTATAGATTCGACAGAACGCCTTTTACGAAAATTCCCATAAATTCTTTTTTTATTTTCTTCAAGCCTCTTTTCCTCTCGTTCGCGATCCAATTCCTTTTTCCATACATCAAGCAAAACGGCATTTATAGACTCTTCCAATGCTTCTTCTGAGGCAAAGGACAAATCTGGTATCTCGATACGAATTGGTAAAAGTTCATTTTCGTATCTTCGAAAAACCGTTATTGATTCTTGTTCTTCGGAATTTCCGGCCAATGAAAAGGAAAACGGATATATAATATTAGATAGTGCAACAGTCCAGCTAGAATCCAATTCAAGCGTGTCAGGCATCCGAACAGTAAATTTAGAAGTGGTATTTCCTTCAACACCTCCTGTATTTGAGGGTAATATAACATAAAAAGAGTCCATATTTATCTTCTAACAATATCGCTATCGTTAATCCAACTATTAAAATTATCGTTATATCCTATCCAACGAACAAAATGTTGCTTAATACCTTGACGTGTACGTGTTTTTAAAACTTCAGCAATACGGTGAGTTGTATCTTCTTGAGTGGGAACCAATTCTTCTCTATAAAATATCCCTTCAATTAAATTTCCTTCAAAATCTTTTAACTTATATGTAATGGGCGATTTATTGTCGTTTTTAATATGCACGTGAAACAATTCGTCAGTGTAGTTGGGTAAATATCCCTTTTCAAATTTACCTTTTTCTTTAGTGATACGAACAATTTGTCCTGGCTCGAGTATTGAGCGTGTCTTAGTATTTTGTATATTTTTAGGATCCTTATATAGTCTGTTAAAAAGTTCCCCCGCATTCTTAAAGGTAACAGAATTTGGAGTTACACCCGTGATTCGATTAATACTTGCATTTATTCCTGAAACAATTTTTTGAATAACCCCTATCCATCGTAGTGTATTTTGTTCGCTAAAGTATCTGTACAATCGCTCTTTGATAGTACGGTTTGCCCTTTCTGCCATAGAAGCATGCACATCGGGACTATAGACTACACGCTTATCTATATCCTTCTTTTTAAAATATTCTTTCATTCGTTTCGCTTCAAATTCTAACCCTCGATCCGTATATAATTTATGTGGAAGTAACCCTTTTGAAAGTTTAAAAATATTTTCGAACGCATCAATCATATCCTCAGAACTCTTAGATTTGGCAGGCACAGCAAAAATTTTTCTACTTAGTACATAATACATACCAGAAGGTATTTGTACCCATCATTATCTTTAGCTAACTGATCAAATATGGCCAAATCCGCTTGCCAATCTGTGTGCAAACCGCTTGGTCTAGTGGCCATTCTAGGAAACTTTTTTCTTAGAGGTCTATGCATTGTGTATACTCTCTGCTTATGAAGAAAATCATAAACATATTGAAATTTTATTTTCGGGTATTTACGACGCGCTTCTTCATAGACGCGATTTATCCCGGCATATGAAGCTGGAGAATTGAGAGTATAATATATTTTTTCTAATAAGGTGTCTAAAGCTTTTCCCATATTTTTGGAATAAATTTATTCTTTCGTCGTACTAATCCCGGTGAATTTATAGGCAAGACTTTTACTAGAACTCTCTTTTTTCTCTTACCGCTGCCTGATTGATTATCGGTTGAACTACCTTCAGTAGTACTTTCTCCCCGCGTCTCTCTAATCATCTCTCTTACTAATGGATCTTTAGAAAGACGATTAAAAAGAAAACTGAAACCTTTAGGTGGTGAAGATATGTCTCCCTTTACATATTCGAGAACATCTGTAAAATTGCTATTCCTTACAACTGTTCCTGGAATGTTTGATTCAAAGCTCCCGTTTTTGCGTATTCTGAACTTTTCAGCATTTTCTTTTACATAATTTTCCAATTCACAGTATTTATAAAGTGAAATTAGTAAAGAGATTTGGAATATTAGAATTATTAAAAGGCGATGTTTGATTATAAAAGTTGCATGAATAAATTAAGGAAACTTTAATTTTGCTGGAAATATAAAAAATTAATTAATTGAATCTATTTTGGGTTTGTTCAGTTCCAGGGTACCTTCTAATGTTTTTGATTTATATGTATTTATTGTTGTTGATCATTCGAACTTATACATATTTTGTCCCAGCGTGTTTTGCGACAAAGTAAAAGGCAAAGCTCCTCCGGCAAAGCTCACCGAGACACTTTTAATGACAAATATGTCGTCTAAATAAAACGCCCGGTAAATTTTTGTTGTACTCACAATTTGCAAATACTTTTTAAAGTATATTTATTAATTACTGGAAAAAATATTCTTAAATAATTTTCTCATCCGAACAAGTTATTTGGAATTTTAAAAACCCAAATGCGCAATACGCCGAACAAGAACAATTAGCCGAACAAAAATTAGGACAAATTAGAGGACACCAATACGGCTATCCTTTTGGCCATAACTACAATTATAATTTTTCAGAAGAGGGTAAGTAAAACTTAAACACTTTAAACAAATATTTGCTTAAAATAAAGAATATCAAAGACAATTGGAGCAAGCAATGTTTGAGTCCACTCAAAATATTCAACCTCATTTTCACCATCAAGGCCCTATAATTCGAGGCTTTTTAATTATTTAATTAAAATTTTCTAAATTTAATTAATTAAGAAACTCCTCAACATCAAGGACAAGGACACTCA